AAACCTCCAGAGATTGCCCTCACACCTACCCAGGAGCAAAAAAGGCTCAATGGACCCTACCTCATCAATTTTTTCCCCCTCTCGTGAGTTAATCCTTGCTTCCATGATGAGATAAAAATAAATGTCCGTCTTTGAAACCATGTGGTTGTTATTTTGGTTCACATGAAAACTGAGGTGAATCTGTTTGGCAGAACGTTGTCTAACTGGTTTATGAGTTTGATAAGTGGGCCCCATCGGTTGTTAAAGTGTCCTACAAGTGAGTTTTCACCCGCAGACACCTTCAGCATGTATGTAGTTTTTGCTTTTTTTTAAAGGATAAAAAAAAATATTTTTTTTTGTGTTTTAGGGATCTCCCGCTGCTAGAAGAGCTTTGTCCCCCAGCTGCGCAGCGGCAAATTTAATGTTTTACTCACTACTTACGATACATCATCAAGGACAAACAAGTGCGGGCCCAAGGTGAGTACAGGTGCTGGTCATAAAATTAGAATATCATGAAAAAGTAGATTGATTTCAGTAATTCCATTTAAAAAGTGAAACTTGTATATTATATTCATACATTACATACAAACTCATATATTTCAGATGTTTATTTTGTTTAATTTTGATGATTACAAATGACAACAAATGAAAATCTCAAATTCATCATATCAGAAAATTAGAATATTGTGAAAAGGTTCAAAATTGATGGCCCCTGGTGCCACACTCTAATCAGCTAATTAACTCAAACCACCTGCAAAAGCCTTTAAATGGTCTTTCAGTCTAGTTCTATAGGCTACACAATCATGGGGAAGACTGCTGACTTGACAGTTGTCCAAAAGACGACCATCGACACCTTGCACAAGGAGGGCAAGACACAAAAGGTCATCGCTAAAGAGGCTGGCTGTTCACAGAGCTCAGTGTCCAAGCACATTAATAGAGAGGCGAAGGGAAGGAAAAGATGTGGTCGAAAAAAGTGTACAAGCAAGAGAGATAACCGCACCCTGGAGAGGATTGTGAAACAAAACCCATTCAAAAATGTGGGGGAGATTCACAAAGAGTGGACTGCAGCTGGAGTGAGTGCTTCAAGAACCACCACACACAGACGTATGAAAGACATGGGTTTCTGCTGTCGCATTCCTTGTGTCAAGCCACTCTTGAACCACAGACAGCGTCAGAAGCGTCTTGCCTGGGCTAAAGAGAAACAGGACTGGACTGCTGGTGAGTGGTCCAAAGTCATGTTCTCTGATGAAAGTAAATTTTGCATTTCCTTTGGAAATCAAGGTCCCAGAGTCTGGAGGAAAAGAAGAGAGGCACTTCATCCACGTTGCTTGAAGTCCAGTGTAAAGTTTCCACAGTCAGTGATGGTTTGGGGTGCCATGTCATCTGCTGGTGTTGGTCCATTGTGTTTTCTGAGGTCCAGGGTCAACGCAGCCACATACCAGGAAGTTTTAGAGCACTTCATGCTTCCTGCAGCTGACCAACTTTTTGGAGATGCAGATTTCATTTTCCAACAGGACTTGGCACCTGCACACAGTGCCAAAGCTACCAGTACCTGGTTGAAGGACCATGGTATCCCTGTTCTTAATTGGCCAGCAAACTCTCCTGACCTTAACCCCATAGAAAATCTATGGGGTATTGTGAAGAAGAAGATGCAATACACCAGACCCAACAATTCAGAAGAGCTAAAAGCCACTATTAGAGCAACCTGGGCTATCATAACACCTGAGCAGTGCCACAGACTGATCGACTCCATGCCACGCCGCATTGCTGCAGTAATACAGGCCAAAGGAGGCCCAACTAAATACTGAGTGCTGTACATGCTCATACTTTTCATGTTCATACTTTTCAGTTGGCCAACATTTCTATAAATCCTTTGTTTTTATTGGTCTTCAGTAATATTCTAATTTTCTGATATGATGAATTTGAGATTTTCATTTGTTGTCATTTGTAATCATCAAAATTAAACAAAATAAACATCTGAAATATATGAGTTTGTATGTAATGTATGAATATAATATACAAGTTTCACTTTTTAAATGGAATTACTGAAATCAATCTACTTTTTCATGATATTCTAATTTTATGACCAGCACCTGTAGAGGACAGAAAGACAGACACAAGACACAATCCAACTCAAGCTGACATAATGAGTTCCACCATCGAATGTTAATACGCTGCACGCAGCTTTTTATACCCTGTTTTATTATATTTTGACGCTATTGTTTGCTGTGTTTCCATTTGTTAGATTTTAAATCCCCCAAATCATCTGTAAGCTGTTGAGTTTGGCCAGTCTGACCCCCCGCCTCTGCTGCGTCTCAGTTCTCTCTCCTAGGTTCAGCAACACATTGACATGGCCTCTCCCCATTGTCCTCTGTGGCCATCATGCTGCCATGCATTCATGTTGTCTTATAGGGTTCCAGAACGGGCTGACAGGTGGGTTAGGTGAGGGTTCTGGTTCAGGACTCAGGATGCTCAAGGACAAAGTGGACAAGAAATCGTCCTCTAAAGCAGTTCCTAATTTCAGATGTGTTTGATTACAAGCGCAGAGGGTTAGGTCTGCGAAGCTGTAGCGTGAGTAAAATGGGTTTTCTTGTTGTGTCGTCCAGATCCGTTGGAAATACATGATTGTGGATGAAGGCCACCGGATGAAGAACCACCACTGCAAGCTGACCCAGGTCCTAAACACCCACTACCTCGCTCCAAGGCGAGTGTTGCTGACCGGGACGCCACTGCAGAACAAGCTGCCTGAGCTGTGGGCACTCCTCAACTTCCTGCTGCCCACCATTTTCAAAAGCTGCAGCACATTTGAGCAGTGGTTCAATGCTCCATTTGCAATGACAGGAGAGAAGGTGGGCATTACCTGCTGATGTATCCTGGATTTAGACAGCTTGTGGTTTTGTTTTTAGTTAGACGTTAAAACAAGGTGTCGTTTTGGTCAAACACTCTCCCTTTCTAGGTGGATCTCAATGAAGAGGAGACCATCTTGATCATCCGTCGCCTGCATAAAGTTCTACGTCCTTTCCTGTTACGAAGATTAAAGAAGGAAGTGGAGGCTCAGCTTCCTGAGAAGGCACGAGTTTCTTCTCTCAGCACATTAAAAAACTCCAGATACAAACTACTTTTCGCCACAATAAAAGCCTCCCTTATTGTTACCTTTACTGATAAAAATATGCAACACAGATCCTTCAATTATCATATAAGAGGATTTATTAATCAGTGATAAAAATAAGGTTGCACTGATCAATCGGTGCTGTGAGATCTGTTGAGAATAAGATACCCGTATCTATCTCCGTATCTCTTAATCTTCTAATCTATTCATTTATACTTGAGAGCACTACCCCATGTGCAGTTAAAACACGTTTGGGTTGTTATGTGTAATATATTTGATTGGAACATTGAAATTATAAATCAATATCAATTCAACTCAGAATCAATCAGCAGATCTAGTCTTTAAAGATCAGAGATCGACCAGAAAACTACGATCCTTGCTTTGCTAGAAAAATATGAACTCAGGAAATTGTTGTTTTATTCAAAGTAATGGAGGCACGTCACCAGGGACAAATGTTTTCTCTTGAGATTTACATATTTGCATATTTCCTAGAAAGGGTAAACATACTATTAGGAAATATCTGCTGTCCTGAAGCTGCAGTCAGGGATAGGATAATAAAGTTGAGAACGACTGAATCTTTGACAAACGAGGCTAGTTGTTTTTCATATAGTTAGGTACGCTGGAAGACCTGTCATGCTTTGGACCATTTTGGTAGTGAAAACCGCCCATGTTTAATCATTTATTTCAAGACTTGCCTGCCATAACCCATCATCAGCAGGGGTTCTTATAGGCCAGGCATCCCCAAAGTCTGTCCTCGAGGGCCGCTGTCCTGCAGGTTTTAGAGGTTTCCCTGCTCCAGCACAGCTGATTTACAGTGATAGTTGATAAACAGGCTTTTGCTGAACTACAACCATCAGAATCAGCTGTGCTAAAGCAGAGAAACCTCTAAAACCTGCAGGACAGCGGCCCTCGAGGACCGACTTTGGGGATGCCTGTTATAGGCCATATATTGTAGATCTATTCACGTCCGATAATAGAACCCCTTCTTTAAACTCTGCTCAAGATTTATGGTCATTATTGACAGTCAAGTCACCCAGGGAATACTATCATGTTTTACCTTCATTACTTTTAACTGCGTGTTAAAAACCATCCGCTGTAAATTTAAACAGTAAGTTAATTCTTGATCAAAACTCCTAATCTGCATCGTGACATCTGATTGATAAATCCTGAGTATTTATTTAGCATTTTATTGATCAGAAAGACTTAAAGAGCTTTTTCTCCTCCCATCAGGTGGAATATGTCATCAAGTGTGACATGTCGGCTCTCCAGAGGGTCCTGTACCGGCACATGCAGGCCAAAGGAGTCCTGCTCACTGATGGATCAGAAAAGGATAAGAAGGTGAAGGCTTAGAAACCTTTCTTACAGTGACTCAAGGTCTTGTTCTTCTAGATAGTTTGAACCTCGGTATGCAGTAAGATGGAACAATCACGCTCTGTACTCATGAAATGTTCTTTATCTTTATCTTATGTCTCTCGGACAGGGAAAAGGAGGCACAAAGACTCTGATGAACACAATCATGCAGCTGAGAAAGATTTGTAACCATCCATATATGTTCCAGCAGATTGAGGTGCATGCCTCGGCCTTTAACAATGAAGGATGTCAATCAAAAGATCAACATCGGGATGAATGACAGAAAATGTTTGTTTGTGTTTTTAGGAATCTTTCTCAGAACATTTAGGATTCTCTGGTGGGATAGTCCAGGGGTAAGGAAGCTCTTATATCTTAGTTTGCATAAGACATCAGCTCTTTCCGTTCTAACTCTCTTCCTGTTTGTTAGTCCTGACCTTTATCGAGCTTCAGGAAAGTTTGAGGTGCTGGATCGGATCCTACCGAAGCTGAGGGCCACAAACCATAAAGTGCTGCTCTTCTGTCAGATGACCTCCCTCATGACCATCATGGAGGACTACTTTGCCTACCGCAGCTTCAAATACCTGCGTCTGGATGGTAAGACGTCTTTTCCGATGTCTTTATAAGCACAGAGGGAACTTTGAAAGGACTCCTTTAAAATACAATATTCTGTCGAAACAAAACATCCTGAAACGTTACACCATGAAAGCTTTAAATCTAGCTAATTTTAAAGTGTTTTCGATTTTATGAACTAAGTAGTTACTCTAAGCAACATATTCTAAAACTTCCACTGGGCTGAAAACGTACAAAAGACTTTGACCATCTGGTTAGAGAATAATGTTACTAACTATGGGAATTTACCTGCTATATTTCTCACTATTAAAAAGGAAGTCATGGAGGTCATACGTTCTGAATGTTTCCATATTCTTCCTTTTTGATAATATTTTAGGGATTTTAATCTGCAGAGCGACATAAAGTTGTGTTGCTCTGCTGGTGGTGGTTTACACTAAGTTAAGTTAAAGTTAACTTTTGAAACCACCACCTCCAGAAGTCACCTAATTCTTAAAGTAATAGCGTAATGCCTGCAAAAATATATACTTTTACAAGGAGTTTAAATGTGTTGTAATTCTTACATTTACTTGAGTAAAAGTTAAGGCTACACGTTCCACCATAAGTAACTCGAGCCAAACAGAGATAAGGAAAGAAAATACAAAAGATGGATATTGGAAGTGGAAATGTCTTACCCTGTCCTAACAGATGTATAATTGTCACTGCAAGGACTGATTTCATAACTTTTTTGTTAAGAAAATGGATTTCGAAATAATGGTTTCTTCTGCAGGAATTTGTATTTTTGTCATATTGCTATTTGTACCTTTCCTATTTATTTTAGTCTTAAAAACACCAGGACTCTCACATAATGTCTGTCTAACTGCAGAATTTCTAAATATATATTTAAGATGTTATCATAGAACAATTACTCAATATCTGAGTGGCCTCTTTACTAAATATCTTTGTACTTTTATTGAGTAAAAAAAATGCTGAAGTAGTGCAACTCTTACTTAGGTTTAATGTTTTTGTACTTTACCCACCTCTGATCGAAGCTGGTCTCCGAAGGCCCCAGAGGTTTGTTAGAGAACATTATGACACAAAAACGTCATGAAGACCAAAAAACACTGGAAATTGCCCGGGTGAGCGTTTTAGAGAAATTTGAAACATGGTTTGGTCAGTGGAACAGAAAGGTTACCCTGCTGAAAAATAAATGTGCTAAGTGTACTAAAATTTAGCATACTTTTGTGTACTTGAAGGCACACTAATCATTACTATACTTTAAGTGTGTTTATGATTAGTTAACTTGAAGGATGCTATTTTGGAACAACTAATTTTGTACTAAATATATTTTAATTGTAATTAAATTGTGGACAAGCTCAACTTGAAGTGTATTTAGTGTACTTTGATGTGCTAAAGTGGAACAACTTAAAGTATATTTTGTATACTTTAAGTATATGAGTTTATATGTACTAATATATGCTTAATTAGTCAAATTAAAGTGCACTATGGTTGTATTATAACTACATTAAAAATGATTTGTTAGTGTCTTAAAAATATATAAGCTTTATACTTTTAATATACTCTTACTGTGGTAATAATATGCTTAATTATACTGTTGGCTTATTCCAATTACTAAAAAAGCATACTTTGCAGTTAATAGTAAATATACTTTATCATTACATTGCTATACTACTTTCTACCTTGCACATTCTTGCAAATGTATTAACAGTATACTAAATGCTGAAAGACTTGTGGATATACTTCCGTGCAGATGAAAAAATATACTTTAATGTATTTGAAACATGTCCAAATTATAGTACATTACAAATAATATAACTTGTACTATCTCAGAATGTATAAACATTTACATATCGACGTTAACCATTTTCATTATAAAACTTACAACACATTTTCAAATATTGGTACTTTAGTACACTTTGTAGAAATATGTCAATTTCAGGCAGCAGACCTAAACATTACAAATAAACTTTAAAGAACGCAGAGGAATACTGAACAATGAAAAACAACATTCCTTATTATTGCACCCCTAAACCCTCCCACCATACAAAAACACGCCCACCACACATTATTTTCCTTTTTTTGGCTGAACTGCTCATTGTTACATTTTCGTCTGATGGCCGTGCGCACATCAGAGACACTTGTCTACGGAAACTCCAGAAGAACAGCGTCTGTTAACCAAACAGAGAGATACTGTAAATTCATAGTATTTTTGAGCAGTACATCAGAAAAGTCTGACAAATTGTATCAGTATGATATACCAGGGTCCATAAGTGCACCAGAAAAAAAAATTGTCCATTTCAGTTGAATTTAAATAAATCTGATGCATCAAGTGGTTTTATCAGATCTGATCAAAAAAATTAAACAAAGTAACAACAAAAATTGTCAGAGATCTCAGAAAAGAAAAAAATTATGAATCCGCAGAAAGAAAGGGAAGAAAAATCCTTAAGTTTCCTTGTTTTTCCTACCACCCTCCAGGGAACCGGATGGCATTCACATTGGGAACATTCTGCATCAACATCTCTGGTGGAGTCTAGTCCAGTCCATACAATGAACTGCTCAGCTGTAACAGCAGATTCTGCAACTATGTAAAAAAAAAAACAGCCTGCACACAAATGTGCAGAGCAATTACTTCAATTGGAAAATAAATCATGTAATCACCATAATATAAATTGGTTTTTACCACATTTATACAGACAAAAATATAAAGTAAAATTATCAATTTACATGTGGTTCACTGTCTAAGAAATCATTATGGTCAGTAGTCAATACTTGTATCTGGAAAAAACAATCCAGGACACCTATGAAGGGTTAATTTTACGTTAACCCCTTGTGGGGGTTTTACAGCAACATCACACAAGATGTAGCTAGCTTGAAAGTGCATTTTCTTTTTTAGAAGAGCACATGGGGGGTGTGTTAGCCTCCTTCTCACTGTGCTAATGCATTCAATAAATCAAAAGAGCTAGTAAAATTACATATATTACAAAACATTATATCCTGACTGGTTTTACATCTCAAAAAATATATATATTTCATTCACAGGTTCATGTGAACTCACCAGGATATTCTTCAACACAATAATACAGCAAATCTTCCTGCTCAACCGATTACATCTCCTGTTTCTACAATACAAATATAATAATCAAAATCGCGTTTTATACAGATATCTTAAGATTTCAAAACCAAATGGGAATGTTTTGAAAGTTACCTCTCTCCATGCAGACCAAGGCCTTAAAAGAAAAGCACGCTAGCTCTGAGCAGGGAGGAGCCGTGACTAACTGCTGTGCAGGTGTGGTGCATTCAAAGTCTATGGGAATTCTGATATCAGTACTGAACCAAAAACTCCCCAAGACTAAAATTCTTGGGGAGCTACTACTTTACAGACATCAAGGCCAAACAACCTCCACATATCACTCCTATATGCATGAAGTGCTGTCAGCGACTTTTAAATATGTGCACTCACCAATTGGTCTTGTTTGCAGTAGCCCTGCTTTGATCCATTAAACAATACTAATGAAATGTTCTTTTTTGAACACTTGAGACAATTGTAATGTGTTAAGTTTATTTCTTTTGCATTTGGCCAGTATTAACTTTTCTGTTGCAATGTGGGTTATGCTATTTGTTAGATCATAATGTAGCACTGCACCAGCTTTAAACCACTTGCTTTTCAGCAGAACACACATTTTTGTGCACCTGTACTTTTGAAGTGAACATTTAGTGTTTTGTTCAATGTGGTTTTGTGTGTAAGATGTATTGTATCATATTTCTTTTTCAAAACTTATTAAACATTACATAACAACTGCAATAATTGCTATCTGTGTACTTTACACACAGCACAAAATTGCATAATAGGGTTTAAGTGCATTTTTGTAGTTATACTATTGAACACTTTCCAAAAGAATTACCTGAAGTACAAGCGTATATAACTTCACTTCATAATTAGATTCAAATGTAACTTAAAATGCACTCAAACTTAATATTACAGTGTCGATATTAAAATGTGTACTTTTAAAATATGCTTTCAATGTACGTTACAATGACAACTTTGAGCATACAATTTAAAATATAGCAAAAATATATGTAAAAACAAATTTAAAATAAGTACACTTTAGAAATTACACATAACTTTCACTTAAAGTATACTTTTTTAATAATATATTTCTATAAAGTGTAACATAGTGTAATTATGTTAAAGTGTGTTAAAAGTATTAGCATGAAAGCGTAATGTTAGTATACTTTTTATATATTTACAAAAAGTACAATTTGTCTAAGTACATTTTCAGTAAACTATAGGAAATATGAATATACTTGAAATACAATAAAGCACATTTTTTTTTTACCAGGGTAGGTCAGAGAACAGAAAGTCTTTCACAGCTCTACCTCATGTGACCTGCCAACAGTTGATCCTTTTGCTGTATGGAGAAACTAACATTACACACAAGCCTGAAAAAACTACCTCTTCACTTACACATGGTGGTGGCAGAATCATGCTGTGGAAATACCTATTTTCGGCTGTGATTGGGAAGCTGAACTGGATGGGAAGAAGGATGGAAATAAATACAGGGCGGTTATGTCCCAGAAAGGATGACTAGTGTATATCAAAGGGCCTAGTCAAAGTTCTGAAACAAAACCAGCTGAGGATCTCTGCTCATTCTTGAACATTGATGTTCACTGGAGCTCTGTGTCCAATCTGAGTTTAGTTTTTTCATGGAATGAGCAATTGTCTTCAAATCTGCTAGTGCAGAAAGATGGTTACATACAGTTTTCTCATAGATGATTAGTTCTTATTGCTAAAAAAAAAAAAGAAAACATGTATCATTTTCCTTCCTCCTCTTTTTGGGATTGTTTGTGTTTGCTTTGCATATAAATCCTAATGAAAGACCTGAAAGTTTTTGGTTGTAATGTGAAAAAACAGGAGAAATTTCAGAGGTTTTGAAGGTTTTACCTTTAACAATTTTATGTTCTTGCCCCTACTGCCTTTTCCTCTCCTCACACCAGGCACCACAAAGGCTGAAGATAGAGGAATGCTTCTGAAGACGTTCAATGACCCAGAGTCGGAGTATTTTATTTTCCTCTTGAGCACAAGAGCTGGAGGCCTCGGCCTCAACCTGCAGTCTGCAGACACCGTTATTATATTTGACTCTGACTGGAACCCTCATCAGGTTCGTTACTCTCTCACATATAATTAAAAAAATATTGCATTATGTTTTCATTTTACTTTTAGAACTAAGTTTTTGATTTGTGCAGGAAAATGACAAATTAGAAAACAAACTGTTTTTCTGTAGGACTTGCAGGCTCAGGACAGAGCCCACCGTATCGGCCAGCAGAACGAGGTACGAGTGCTGCGCCTCTGCACCGTCAACAGCGTGGAGGAGAAAATCCTGGCTGCGGCCAAGTACAAATTGAATGTGGACCAGAAGGTCATCCAGGCAGGCATGTTCGATCAGAAGTCTTCCAGCCATGAGCGCCGGGCCTTCCTGCAGGCCATCCTGGAGCACGAGGAGCAAGACGAGGTCTGGGGTCAAGAGCTCGTGAATGTGTGTGCCTGCACCGGCTGGATTTACATTGCACCCTGTGCTCTTATTGCTCTGCTCGCCAATGTGTGTCTGCTATTTTCAGGAGGAGGACGAGGTGCCAGACGATGAAACTGTCAACCAAATGATTGCCAGGAGTGAAGAGGAGTTTGAGCAGTTTATGGTCCGTCCCTGAAACCAAAATTAGAACTTAGAACCTTTTTGCTCTGTGGTTTCTCTTAACAGACCTTTCATTCTCCCAGCGTATGGACCTGGACAGGCGCCGTGAGGAGGCTCGCAATCCTCGGCGGAAACCTCGTTTGATGGAGGAGGACGAGCTGCCCACCTGGATCATGAAGGATGATGCTGAAGTTGAGCGTCTGACCTGTGAGGAAGAGGAGGAAAAAATGTTTGGGCGAGGTTCCCGACAGCGTAAGGAAGTAGACTACAGCGATTCACTGACAGAGAAACAGTGGCTAAAGGTGACTACCTGAAAAAATTAAATCAAAGTTTCCAGAGAATTTATATTCCAGAGGTTCTAATGAGCTTTTGTTTATGTTAAGGCAATTGAGGAGGGGACACTCGAGGAAATGGAGGAAGAGGTGCGTCACAAAAAGACAACCCGGAAGAGGAAGAGGGATCGTGATCTGGATCTTCCAGGTCCGTCTTCTTCCTCTGGCAGCCGCGGACGGGGGGACAGGGATGATGATGGGAAGAGGCAGAGGAAGAGGGGAAGACCGCCTGCTGAGAAACTCTCCCCCAATCCTCCCGGTCTGACAAAGAAGATGAGGAAAATCGTGGATGCTGTCATCAAATACAAAGACAGGTGAGAGAAATTACCTCAGAGAGAGGTACAAACAGTAGAAGAATAGTTTTAGAGGAATTATTTGGGATATTACATCTTTACTAGAATCTATTCCTCAATATCATATTTAGAGGAAAATCTTCTTGCAAGGACCATTGAACTTTAAATAGTTAGGACTCCATCTATTTCTTTAAAAGTGTCAGTCTTGAGTCTTTTGTTTCATCAAATGACAATAGCATTTATACTAATTTCAGTTAAATAAATAAACATGTCCCAAAATAGACACCCCTCAACTTCTACTTCTTAAACCCCTTGACATCCGAATTTATATCCATCCATCCATTATCTGACACACTTGTCCCAAATGGTGTCGCGAGGGGTGCTGGTGCCTATCTCCAGCCGTCAATGGGCGAGAGGCGGGGTACACCCTTGACAGGTCGCCAGTCCATCGCATGGCAACACAGAGACACACAGGACAAACAACCCTTCACTCACACACTCACACCTAAGGAGAATTTAGAGAAGCCAATTAATCTAACAGTCATGTTTTTGGACTGTGGAAGGAAGCCGGAGTACCCGGAGAGAACCCACGCATGCTCAGTGAGAACATGCAAACTCCATGCAGAAAGATGCGCTGTGACCACTTTTCAAGTTTGGGGGTCACTGCCCCGATGGACCCAATGACCACAGGTACCGCTGATGCCTTGACCTTCCAGGTTTTCTCCAGCTCTTCTCTGAGCCCCTGGTACTTCTATAGTTTTTCATGTCCTTTTTTCCTGATGTTGCATTCACTTGGTATTGCAATGTCAACCACAACGGCTTTCCTTTGCTTTTTGTCCACCACCACAATGTCCGGTTGGTTTGCCATTACCATTCGGTTCGTCTGTATCTGGAAGTCCCACAGGATCTTGGCTCGGTCATTCTCTACCACCTTTGGAGGTGTTTCTCACTTTGACCTTGAGGTTTCCAGCCCATACTCTGCACAGATGTTCCTGTATATTATTCCAGCTACTTGGTTATGGCGCTCCATGTAAGCTTTCCCTGCCAGCATCTTACACCATGCAGTTATGTGCTGGATTGTCTCAGGGGCCTCTTTGCACAGGCTGCACCTGGGGTCTTGTCTGGTGTGGTAGATCTGGGCTTCTATTGCTCTTGTGCTAAGGACCTGCTCCTGTGCAGCCATGATGAGTGCCTCTGTGCTGTCCTTCAGTCTGGCTTTGTCTAGCCATTGGTAGGATTTCTTAGTTTCTTAGACTTAGTATCTCTATTTAGTATCTCTATTTAGTATCTGCAATTGAGGCCAGAAAATCTTTTAACAAAAGGAAATCTAATGTGCAGATTGTCTCTAGCTTAACATTGCAGTAGACCTTTTGCTTTAACTGACAGAAAGGTGACAGAAAAGGCTGATGTGGGGCGGGCCCTCTAGCTGGCCCTATGGGGTAAATCTGAAATCTGATTGGTTGAAGAAAACGTTCCTCACCAATATTGTTAAGTTAAGATCAGCCACCACTGCTGATTCTGATGGCCTTGACCGATCTGATTGACATAGCAACGCAATAAGGCTGAAATCTGATTTAATCAGTGTAGAATGAATGCTCATTTTACAGATACAAACTGTTTACCTGGGTAGTAGATCAACTTTGTACACGCTAAGGGTTTTTACATTTAGCGGATCATTATTTCCAACCTAAAAAAAAAAAATCTTAAAAGAAAGGACATTCACTTTTGGTGTCATCTGAGTAAATTCAAAGAAATGATTCCACAAAAGAGCTGAAAAAGCTCTGAAACCTAAATAAGAGCCCTGAGGTACCCCATTTTTTATCTGAAAATCAGTAAGCTGTTTTTGAAAGCAAAAGTCAATCTCTTTTGTTTTGTTGTACCTGTTTTCCAAATTACCTGTAATATATTTAGGTATGCATATAGACAGTGATGGGACTAACGGCGTTGAAAGTAACGGCGTTACTAACGCCGTTACCTTCTTTTAGTAACGAGTAATATAACTAATTACTTTGACTGTAACTATAACGCAGTTACCATTGCAGACACCCCGTTACTGCGCGTTATTCAGGTCGCACAATGAACCTTTTTTCATGATAGAACTCGTGCGCAGCTGCGTGAAGCTGACACCCCACCCACGCCAAAAAACTCTGCAAATAGACTGAATGGTTAGTGCAACGTTAGTGCAGATTTGTGCAGAAAAAAATATTGTTTGTGCTACTTTTGTTTAAGAGATATTAAAGATTATTTTTTAGGTCATCCAGAGGTGCGCGCCTTGTCATGAGAGAGGGGAGGATGAGAATGGCTGATGTATAGTGAGATTCCGTCTGTCAGTTGGGTAGGTGGGTGTTTCTGCTGGTGGGTGTTAACGTACAGCACACACAGAGAGATGGAGAGTGAGGAGGACTCCAGCAGCAAAACAGCTTTTTCCTGATGGAAATACCGGTGTTACGTCGAGCTGCGTTTCCCCATCAGATACGGTTTCCTCTGCATCTCCGCACAGCGCAGGCGGCACGAGTCACCGCGCAAGCGACAGGAAACGCGCATGCTCGCTAAAGGCGCGCACCAGTCGCCCTGTGCTCGCGCCACAGGAGAACTATGGAGAGCGTGAACGATCAAATGAAAGGGATGGATGGATGGATGGATGGATGGATGGATGGATGGATGGATGGATGGATGGATGGATGGATGGATGGATGGATGGATGGATGGATGGATGGATGGATGGATGGATGGATGGATGGATACTCTGCCTTTTCAACCTACTGTATTTTTTATTTTAAACATTATTTGATGGCCTTTGTGGCAGGGATGGAGATCCATATTTTATGTCACACACAGAGTATACATCTAGATAGATAGATGATAGATAGATGTTGCAGTATCTATAACAACCCAAACACACAGGATTTCAGAATTAGACATCCCCAGTTATCAATTTCATATACTCACCAGATCTGAATGCCCTGTTAAAAAACTTCACATGGCGTTCCCCCCTGTCATTTACATTGAGTTGCAATAAATGCTAAACTCTCTGCAGGTTCTTGTCTTTGTCGTCCGCTCTATTCAGCTGGCTTTGAAACACACCGCGAGAAGGTGGGGGCCGGGTGGTGAGGGTTACGGGGGCGAGAAACGCAATAGTTACTTTTACTAGTAACTAGTTACTTTTATTGTGGAGTAACTCAGTTAGTAACTCAGTTACTTTTTGGGAGAAGTAACTAGTAACTATAACTAATTACTTTTTCAAAGTAACGTGCCCAACACTGCATATAGAGATGATTCCTCAGCTTGAATATAATTTACACTTTCCAGAAATGCAAATAAGACCAATAGGGGACCAGAGCTGGTTAGTTTCTCACTGACGGTGTAATGTCCTGCAGCACCAGCGGGCGTCAGCTGAGTGAGGTCTTCATTCAGCTGCCGTCGCGAAAGGAACTGCCTGAGTACTATGAGCTAATCCGCAAGCCAGTGGACTTCAGGAAGATCAAGGTTGGATCATTTTTGAGTGTGAGATCAATGATTATTCCCTTCATTACGATTAATGTGATGTGTTTTTTCCTGCAGGAGAGGATTCGAAGTCATCGCTACCGCAGTCTGGGTGACCTGGAGAGAGATGTCATGCTGCTTTTCCAGAACGCTCAGACCTTCAACCTAGAGGGTTCCCTGGTAAGTCCCCCTGGGATCTTTGTTCCTGACGGGACCACATCATCATTCAAGGTGCGAAGATGACGACGTGCTTGTTTTCTGGCAGATATATGAAGACTCCATTGTGCTGCAGTCCGTGTTCACCAGTTTGAGGCAGAAGATTGAGAAGGAGGAGGAGAGCGAAGGAGAGGACAGTGAGGAAGAGGAGGAAGAGCAGGAGGATGGATCAGAGTCAGAATGTGAGCGCTGATGTACAAACAAACAGAAACTCTGTTTATATTTAATGTCTTGTAAAAATTTTTTTATATAACTTAACAGTTTAAACTTATAGTGCAGTGCAAAAGTATTCATAATATTTCAAATGTAAACACATGAAAAACACACTTCAGAGTATTAAAGCAGCACATAGCTATAAAGTAGATCAGATATGATGCATGTTTTTACTTATTTTTTTACACATTAAAGTCTGAAAAGTGTGGCATGGTTTTATGTTCATTGTTAGCCTCACATGAAAACATAGTGGAAGCAATTAGTAAAACAGTCCTGTGGTGTTTAGATTGGTATTAGTTATATGCATTTATTGCTACTAAGGTTCATAATCCATCCTCATATTCCTCCATTTACTGATATTCTAAATTCTTTCTCTGTATTTGTGTGTTTTGTGTATAGCTCGCTCAGTCAAAGTGAAAATCCGCCTGAGTCGGAAGGATAAAGGAGGAGATCGAGGGAAAGGACGCAGCAGGCGGACAGGACGCACCAGGGCCAAACCGGTCGTCAGCGACGACGACTCTGAGGAGGAGCAGGAGGAGGTAACCCTGGGCTGGGTCCAGCTCTCACTTAAGAAAGAAGAAAGAAACTTCATACATTCCTATCAGTGAGAACCTGAAGTATAAAGGGGAATAATAAAGAGAAAAAAAGATCATCAGCATCAACTCGTTACATTGAAGGAAATGCCAAAAAATGTGAATAAACTTCCTATAATTAACAATATAATATTTATACTCGCTAGAGGTACTGTTGGCAATTAGAGAAAAAGGGTTGATGCGCAAAACGAGAGATGGAAACAGTTTAACCGTTCATTTCTGATGTAGAGAACCTTTACCTCACATGACTGATAAGTTGTTTTGTCCTGGATGTTCCTATTATGTCTGTAAACATGACTAGAAGCAACATCGCCATGGATGAAATTTTGATTTCAGAAGTGGGGGGGGGGACGCAACTATGTTTTAATATAACTAATTTCAGCGTGGTTGACCATCCAATCACAGACCCGATTCAGTAGCGCATCAGATGTTTGTAAAGTGAGCTCCTCAGGAGTGACAGCCGATCACACAAGAAAAGACGGAGGGCCAATCAGGAGCTTGTGTGCGGTCTAAACTCAGGGAAGTGTGCTTCAGCTTGAGCTGCAGTTTTCCGCTTGGTCCTAGTGCTTGACGATTGTCTGTTTACTGTAGCGTAACATTGTTTTTTGACAGTAAAACGTCCAGGGGACCAAAATGGATGTTTGAAAAAGTGCAACCCCCTGAAAATTACATCCATGTGCATCGCCATTACTAACTGACATCTTAACATAAGAACAACTTGCCCGATAGCAACCCATTCATTAAAACTTTCCTCCATTACTGACCTGAGGTCATTGCTAAATAACATTCTCTACTCCCTCTTTACTTGCTTGACGACGTAATGTGGACAAGGACATAGGACGCCTTTGCAATGCTTTGTTAATTCGTTCAAAACAAATGGAAACACTGCTCATTTGCATTTCCCTTTTTTTCAAACTTTTAAAAGTTCACTTAAAATTCAAGTTTCAGTTGAATGGATACACAACTATAGAACATATAGAAAATGAAATGTGTTTCTGTTCATATAATGCAACTGTTGGATGGAGAATATAGCAGAGTGTAAAATAATCTGCTTGTCTGTTTTCCAGGAGCGCTCGGCCAGCGGCACCGATGAAGAGGTGTGAACTGTTTACAGGAGTTAAAGAGAAGGAGGCACAAAAAGGGAGATTCCAACAAGTCAAATAGCGCATATAATCATCGAAACAAACAAGCCACACTCAGCTCCATCCAACCTCAGTCAAACAACACGGACCTAAAATAGGAAGGAGACAGAAAAGGTTCAAGGTTCATATATGAGCTGTATTGTATACATCCCCATTTACTGGCTGGCCTGGTAAAGATGTGTAAACAGGCTGAAAGTAAATCTGTTGCAGCAGAATCTGTCACAAATATCCAATTATTTAATTTTAAAGCATTAATTACATTTTTTTAAATCCACCTTAAAGAAGAATACTGAACAATTATTTATTCTCTTTAAGTGGCACAGTTATTGACACCTCTGATAAATCCTGAATAATAATAAATAAGATATTTCCTCGTCTTCCTGCTTTAAGGCAGAGGTCTGCAACCTGCAGCTCCAAAGCTTCGAGTGGCTCTTACGAAGATCTAGAATGGCTCTAAATAAGAACCTTCAAATATATAAAGAATTAATGCAGCATAATACAACACCAGTCTTAAGATATATATATAATTTCTTTTTTTAATATTTGATTGCATTTTCACAACAGAATGATATTAAAATAAGTAAAATATATGTTTTAAGATCTACTTTTCTCATTGTTAGCTTGGATTTGTTTGTTTTTTTACATAAAAAATATCCTATATAAGAAAATCCATGCTTCATCTTCATGAATTGTTTTTCCTCATTTAGAGGCTAAAAATACAAATAAATGTATTAAAATGGTAACAGATTCCCTGTAATAGATATTCAACAAAAATAAGTTTTATATTTTGAAAGGTTTTATATAAAATTTGCATTTCTAAATGACTTTTACTCAGCCGGACTCAGAGTAAAATGGGTCTTTGGATTTTAAAGGTTGCAGACCCCTGCTCTGGGGTATGATGATAATAATAAGACTTAACAGGCCTATTTTGCTAAATGGGAAAGATAATAGAACAAGTTCAAGTAAGGCCAATTGTCTTGATGTTTTTGATTAATGAAATAGTTACCAAAAAATGATTTCTCCTCTAACTCTGTTTTCTTCTACATTTCGAGTGGAGTGAAGAAGCTTTAAACAGTGTAGAGTGCAGTGTGTTTATGTTGCTTCCAGATGAATAATCGTCCAACCACAGGTTGGAAAACTGCAGCATCTCCTTTTGGTTAAAAGTAAAAACAACTTCTATAACAAATGAGGTTTTATCAAGGGATAAAAAAGCATATTTTCATGGACTTTGGAGCTTTTTCTGATAATTGCATATTAGACCAGGGGATGGAGCAGGGCAGCCTGGATTATTAGAAGACGCCCAGTGAGTCAGATGAAACATGATTGAACAGGCAAGGGATGTGCAACTGCTATAAGCTTTAAAAAACACTGATCTTTGTCCTTCCATGGATACTGCGGTCTTTTATTACCTTTATTATATCACCAGGATGTGATTGTAGTTTTTTTAATGTGTTTTTTTCATTATTAACATATTGTTTAACTCTATTTATAGGTCCCTTTATGGATCATATTTAATTCGAATTTGAAATTTTTTATTTAAACAAATATTTTATTTATTTACTTTTAATTTGTGTAATTAATATGATTAAATAGGATGCAGTTCTAATTATATTGCAGTCCTAGTTATGCAGTTTTAACTGAATTTCCTGCTGTTTAATCTTTCTAGACTGAACATCTGAGTGCCAATCTTTTATTTATAGTGGTAAATACAGCAGCTATGAACTTCTCATGGTTTATATGGCTTATGAAGGGGGAATTAATGAAGATTGTTCACTATAAGAGGTCAGGAATTGAAAAATTTAAATGTATAGTGGTGAATTTTTGAAAAGACACACCCTCTCCACTTTAAAAAGAAAAATTCAAATGCACAACCCTGTATCCCCCTCTTGAGAGGGAATGCCTATTAAACACGTGCAAGAGCCCATTTCTGCTCATGCAGGCTCTGTTTAAAAGTTGCTGTCTGCATCGCTCATACAAACTTACTTTCCAAAAGAAGATTTGCAATTTTTCCACTTTCAGACTATTGATGATCCACGTGTAAAAAAAAAAAAAAAAAACATCATCCTCTATACTTTTAAGTTCAGCTTTCTTAGGAGTCAAATAAATTTTCTGTAAATGTTCAAGATTTTCTTTTTTTCTTCTTCCAAGAACTGGTCAAACATGCCCTTCTTACTATCATGAGGAGTAGAACCTGTTGGGTATTTGTGTAAGGTCATGTTAACAATGCTGAGTCTAAATGTTTGCAGACATAAAATGAATGCATCTAATAAAAACCTAAGGACATAACCTGGAGCAGCTAAACAACCCCCCAGAGCCACTGCGACTCAAAGATTGTGTATAAATCAGGTGTTTGTCTCGAACAAACGTCCGATTTATGGGTGCGATCCTCCAGGGTTAATAGACTGAGGCTTAATGGAGCTCAGGTCACAGCATTAAAACAACCCAGCTGCTGCTTCACAGAAACCTTTTAATGGTACACTTGAATCATTTTTTAGTCTGTATGAGTACTGTAGCTTTAATTGTTTCTCCTTCTTCTGTTGTTGCATAGTGATTTCAGAATTTCAAAGCTGTTTATTATGTGTGTTGGGGGGGAGGGTTTGCACTTTTTTTCTCTTACAAGACAAAGGACCAGGGGGACAGTGGCTCCTCTCTGCTTGTGACTGCCTCGTTCAAGGCTGAATGGTGTTGGATATACTGTGAAGACTATTTATATAAGAGCATAATGTCGGTGCACGTATGTACAGCTTGCAACTCATGTACTGTAAGTTTGTCCTCATCGCCCTAGGTAACCAGAGTGAACCAAAGCATCCATGTTTCCTCTAAGGAGTTAACAACATGTGTCTGTGCTGTGCTGTGTCACTGTTGCTCATACTTATATAAAACAATAAAATGTTGATGTGTCATGGTGTGCTGTGATTGAAATAACCAATTTGCATTTTTTATTTTTGTAATTTTAGTTTTAGGGTTTTAGGGAAAATACAAATTCTCTCTTTTTTTTCTGGCAGTGTGGCAATAAGAATAATTGTCTTGATGCCAAAAAAAGCCCAACAGATTTTACTTTCACAAGTGAAGCAGTACGGCTATCGCCATAGTGTTCCGCTTGATTTGTGCATATAAATTGCTTTATTATAATTATGCAGGGAGTATTACAGATTATATGGACACTGAAATATAAGTAGAACAGAGGAGGAAAAACAGAAAAAAAGAGAAAGATGAAAGAAAGGAGATAAAAGGGAGATAATGATAGAACATTTTCAGTCAGCTTCATCACCTGCAAAGAGATGTAAAAAGAAAAGCACAACCAACAGGCATGGAACGAGACAAACAATAAAGTAACACCTATTGCTGAAGTAGCATTATTTAATCTGACATGTACTCTGTGTTACCTGAAGATAAGAATATGGGCTTTCTGTATGGAAGTGAATCTCTTAGTACCTGGAACCAAGCACCTGTAGTTGTTTGTGAGAGTGCACTTGTGCATGTAAAGTTTATCCAATGGAAAAATACTAAATAGTGGTTGTGGAGAGCCGAAGAGGCGCCCTCAAAGACAAATTCTAAGCTCTAGTATGCAATGATCCCTTTCGTCCAGTGGGGGGAGTCCTTATATAAACAGAAAAAAATGTTCTTCTCTCTTCAAAAGACTTCTTTATTGTAGGGATGAATTTAACATCCTTTTAAAATATATTCTGTCTTTTGCCTTCCTTCACCCTCTTTATCAGTCAGTTGTCTTAAATAAATATTAATAATATATTTATATATTAAATAAATAGATATATTTTCATAACGTTAGCTAAATATGAGTAAATTATGCTTTCCTGCTGGTTTTCATAAGAACTTCTGCAGAGTCGAGGTCCCCAAAACAAAACAAAAAGTCTTTTATTGAGCAGATTTCTAGAAAGATAGACTCCATGCTTTTCCACTTAATGTCATCCTGAGGAGAACTGGGACAGTGATGACTACATTTCCAAAATGTTTTGGCTTTCGAGTTAAAACCACAAACTTTGTATTTTATGATGATTTTATTAATGGAACATGGATGGAAAATAATTATAGCTTCCTTTTATTATCAAACAGAAACCTGGGGAACCCATGGCTTACATTTTTATTGAGTCAACACTTTGTAGAAAGACCTTTTCTGTTTTTCGCACCACGTCTTTTAGGCTTTTCCATCTCGATACATCCAGAGGCTGTAGCAACATCTTAGAGAATAATTTCAGCTCAGATTTGAGCTAAAGTTATGTGTGCACAACAGTTTGTGACCCTTTTCACAAGTCCTAATAGGTCTTACTAACAGCTAAATATTCTTTAACCCAAATTTGGACCCTTCTTCTCTGTTCTGTCTCGTTTATGTTTAAGACACTTCCCTCTCCTTACCTGCTGTTGGTGTCACCAATGTATGGCAGCCTCTTTCCTATCAGTCTGCCCCAGTGCAGTTATGGCCACAATGCAGCTCACTACAACAGGCGTGTGAGTGGAACACTGTCTGAATATATTGTAAAGTGCTTTATAAGTACAGGCCATTTCTTATAACAACCTATTTCCTTATGTTACCAAAAATCTATAAAGGACAGATTTGTGAAGCATTTCATTGGTGACCTAAGGAGAAGTAAAGCTTGTTTAGAAATTAAAGCCATGTGTTGTTTTCTTTTACACACGGCTCTACTCTGTGTTGCATTATTGAATTTGATCCCATTAAGAGGGTTTGTGATTGTAACATGGTCAAATGTGAGAAAGGTTTAAAACACGAAGGCAGCCGCTCTTATAACTTTGAAACTAATGTCTGTTGAAGGTATCTTAAGTCAACAGATTCTTCAAAATATTTTTGGATAACTTTCATTACTTTTTTTATTTATTGTACTTTTAATTATTCCTCTGCCCTTTTTAGTAGCCTTAAAAAAGGAAAACGTGTTCTCACCAACATTTATTGGCCCCTATGTTTGCTCAGATTTAATCTCTATGACATTCAGTTGTTTCTGCTGGACTAACCTGTAATCAAAACACTAATAACAAGACGGTTATAACCATCAGGGCTTATGGGAACAACTCTCAGGGTTGAGTTCCTGCTACAAGCCTCATACAGGTGCTGGTCATAAAATTAGAATATCATGAAAAAGTAGATTGATTTCAGTAATTCCATTTAAAAAGTGAAACTTGTATATTATATTCATACATTACATACAAACTCATATATTTCAGATGTTTATTTTGTTTAATTTTGATGATTACAAATGACAACAAATGAAAATCTCAAATTCATCATATCAGAAAATTAGAATATTGTGAAAAGGTTCAAAATTGATGGCCCCTGGTGCCACACTCTAATCAGCTAATTAACTCAAACCACCTGCAAAAGCCTTTAAATGGTCTTTCAGTCTAGTTCTATAGGCTACACAATCATGGGGAAGACTGCTGACTTGACAGTTGTCCAAAAGACGACCATCGACACCTTGCACAAGGAGGGCAAGACACAAAAGGTCATCGCTAAAGAGGCTGGCTGTTCACAGAGCTCAGTGTCCAAGCACATTAATAGAGAGGCGAAGGGAAGGAAAAGATGTGGTCGAAAAAAGTGTACAAGCAAGAGAGATAACCGCACCCTGGAGAGGATTGTGAAACAAAACCCATTCAAAAATGTGGGGGAGATTCACAAAGAGTGGACTGCAGCTGGAGTGAGTGCTTCAAGAACCACCACA